ACAGCTTGCAGTACCGTCGAGTAGTCCACAGCAGCTCATATAAAGACTGTTCATCTCTGTCCCTGAGGTCGCGATTAGTAGTAATGAATTGAGGCTCCCCCGGGGGTCAGAGCGACTATGCATGGTGGAGTAGTGAAGTGTGTAGTACTACTCGTGCGCCAGTGCGCAGCTGCTGGCTCCTTCCACTTCGGTACAGTCGTTAACCTCCGGTCATCAAGTTCTTGATCTCGCGTGCAGTTAACATGGCTTTCGGCGTCAGAATAACCATGGGTTGCCGGTGGCTCGTTGACACCGCTACTATTTTGGGCGACTGAGCGCGAGACTCGGCCGGCCGGTGCTGGCTTGGTCGGCAATAGGCTGAGGCAGAAGACTCGAAACTTGTTTACTATTTGGAGATCCAGAGGAGGGAGAGAGTGGCTCATCATACAGTAATACGGAACGAGTTGCGTGCTCCAACGTTGAATACTTGCTTGCCAGCAGCAGTAGGGTTAGGAGTAAGACACCTTGAGGCTGAGGGCCGAAGCTGCTACTATCTGCTAGCATGTCTATGGCCGGACGAGAGGTCTATTGTGCGTACGCGCCGGGATGGTGATAGTAGAGAACATAAATGCGCACTGGGCAGGGCAGATGAGGCCTAGTATAACTTACAAGTAATGCGTGACAGTGCGTGTACCAAGGTGACGTACCGTCGATGGATCCGCCACTATAATAGGCCAACATCGGTAGGACGTTCCTGTACAACGACGATCCAAGTAGCAAACCCCGCCGGCCGGGTTGCTTTGATTACGGGGGCTCGTTGCTCAGCCAAATGCCGGACGTTCGATAGGAACAACACTCCAGATAGTAGTACTGTCACCATCTCGCTGATCGAACGGCCGAGATCGCTGCATCGACCCCGCCATCTCTGTACTGTACCCACGAACAATGCTTGGTGTAACAAAAACAAAGAAGCTAGAAGAATGCTTAGGATTTCAAGCTAGTAGCGAGCTAGCTAGGGTCTCTCGCGGGGCGCAACCGCGGGTACGTACGCACGCACGCAGCCGTGCGGTTCGTCGGCTAAGATCACACGCAGACGAAGCCGCAGGCGCTGCCCTTCCTTGTGTCCATCGGTCGGCCGATGCTTGCGGTCTACTCGATCGGCACGGTCGACCTCGATGGGACGCCGCGATATTCGTGAGGTTTCCCGTGCCTTTCGATCGCTTGAGATGAAGCGACGTACGGACGTGCTTAGTTGTGATTGGGATCTACCCTACCCTACGACGCGGGCGCCGCAGGGAGCGGTCGATCTCCACTCTCACAGTCTCACCTCACGTGGCTGCTTAATTCTCTGGCGCAGCTCATGGGGAAACCCCCGTATGTCAAAGTATCCAACGTGTTTCACGAAGAACCCTAGCTGCTGGCTTGACGAGGGGGTTAACGCCTCGATCGCGCTCTGGGTTTTGTGTTGTTTACACGCCGGCCCGGAGTTCCATCTCCAGGCCCGACCTCATTGTCTCCCAAGCTCTGCAATAGTCGTACGCGCTCTCCAATGCGCCATCGCTCGTCGCCCGCTGACAACGGGCCCCGCTCAGTCTCAACCGGCCGGCGGGGCCTCCCTGTCAGCCGGTACGAGCCACCGTAAGCACAGCGTCATCTTGCTACGCTCTGCTGGTAGGTTACTGTAGTCTATCCCTCTGAGCCTTCTGAAACCACCACTACTTTGTGCGGCAGCGCACGAACGCCGCACAGGCGCCAGAGGTCCGGAGCTCGCATCGTCCGGGGCCATGTGCGTCGTGCTCGCAGTCGCGGGACGGGGATCGCAGCGCAAAGCGTAGAAGGAAGGGAGGGATTAATCCCGGCGCAGGTTCCTCGCTACGTACTGCTACTGCTACTGGTGGCGACGGCGTTTAATCCCTCTCCGTATACTCCATCGGGGGGACGGACGGGCGATGCAGTAGTACGTGGCGAAGCCTCGTTTGATCTGCGCATGTAGATACAAATATCTTTGCCGATCCGCATGGAGTTATTGGGACCGTACCACGAGCTAGCTTGGACGGCTTAATTGGCGGACAGAGAGCGGGAGCCGATCGCGATCAATCAGAGCTGGAATTTCGCAGCGGGCGACGATGGTGTATTGGTGTGCCTTGGCCTAACATTTTCATTTTCTCTCCTGTCCGTTTGTGGCATCAGACCTGAAATTACGAGCGAGAGAGTTAACAACGCATTGGAACTTTGGAAGTCAAAGCCGAAACCGGACAAAACGAAAGCCAAATTCGGCTCTCGAACCGGGCGCGGATTCCGGCCGAACGTTCGTTGAGATTTGCCCGAGTCCGACGACCTCCAGTCTGCGGCTGTCGAGGGATTGCCGGTTCGGCCCCCAGCCAATATGACGACGGAGACTGACAGCCATGTGCCACCCCACGTACTGCGTCATGCCGCCAAATCAACCGTTTCTAATGCATGCAACCAGCGCCACTTGACTCGCCGGATCCGTTCTGAATTAGTCGACGATGTGTGGGACGATTAATTTACTTAGGAGTGGTTTCTCCAGAAGAAGACTGACCTTGTCTCAGAAGCAGAAGAAGAGGGTGCTTGGATACGTTTTAGTCCTATGACTAAAAGTAGTGGGACTAAAACTTGCTAGCCTCACCAATGTTTGGATCCAAATACTAAAGAAACTAAAATTAAATTATTGAGCATTTATTATCCTTCAAACCATCCAATTCAGAACTCGCATGTGTTAAAGTAGAGGAATTAAATGAGGAGAGAGAGGGCTAATACATATTTTAGTAGGTTTTCTATGACTAAAAGTTTTTAGCCTCAAGACTAGTCCTAGCCTCTCTTTAATCAGGGGTGCTTGGAACTTTAGCCTCTAAAAGAGACTATTTTTAGTCAGACTAAAAATAGTCTCTTGGATCCAAGCACCCTCGAAGACTGACCTGCATGCCAGGCCTCTGTTAGTTAAGGCTTAACAACCAGTCAACCATCCATGGGCCAACGGGCTAAGCTAGAGGGATCTACTGGCGCAATAAACCACCCCAGAAATTGTTTATTTGCAATCATCATTAATCTAATCTAATGGGGGCTTTTGTTTTGGACTTGCTGCAGTAGCTGATGATGATGATGTAGGGTTCTTCAGCATGCTTCGTCAAGCAAAACAATATACGTCTACATATGCCACAAAGTTCCGCGTAAGCAGGCAACATTTTCTTTTTTTCAAGTGGAATAAGCTGGCAACATCAACATGGCTTGGTGTGGTGTCAGTTCAACTGCTCACTTCAGATTTTTCTCGATGCCAAGGGCACAAAAAATATGGTTAACAATTTTGTTTGTGTTTTCTCTCGTGCAGAAAAGGACACCGGGCCTGTTGATCAAACCAGCAGTCATGCATCCTTAATAATTATTAAAGATAATGCGTCGAGGTCCCTAAGGGCCCATCATCTTCTTTGTCCTGAACGGGTCGACGGTGTGGCCTTGTTGCTGCCTCTCCATTCTTTTTTTTCTTAAAAAGGGGAAAGACCCCGGCCTCTGCCTCTCCATTGCTAGAGCCAGCCAATCATTGTTTACCGTGGATGAAAAGTCATGGAAGGCCACAATCTTGCCCGACCACCGCCATGGAGAAGAAGCCATTCAAAGATCCACAAATCCAAGATTACAACCTCCAAAAACAATAATCATAGGCTCACGTTGGCACCGACATGAGGGAGAAGAGGCTGAAGGTCCGAACTTCAAAATGAATCTGCATCCGCCGCCACACCAACAACCCCAACGTCAACAGCTAGAGAGGCCAACGATCTACGTCAACGAGCCATCGACATAGCTACAGTCAAAAGGTCGAGATGGGGAGGCTCGATGTAACTTTACTCACCAGATCGACGAGGTCGACACCAC